TGGCAACCATTTGAGTGGTCGATTCCCGCTTCCTGAAAGTTCTATATTCGTATATTCAATAAAAGTAAAAATGAAAAAAAATGAAAAAGAAATACGAAGGAATCTGTTCAGAAATAAACAAACGCTTTCATTTATTTTGCACCGAAATTTAGAACCTGATCATGATAAAGACGTTAGGTTCCCTGATTGGTGACAAAGTAGCTGAAACTTGAGTACACTCAAATAAATGCGGGACACGTAATCCGTCATTGTTTGGTGAATGACTGTTTAATTTATACATATTACACATTAAACCTCAATGTTGTTAATGCGCTTATCCTATAAGGATCCATAAATGCCGGGAAATACGGTAAAGCATAAACATCGTTAGTCCTTGCAAGCATTCCATAAAAATCCTCCATCACATAATCATCTTTTTCAAAAATTTACCGTTGCATAAACTCTACTCTATTCAGTTCACTTTGTAAAATCAATCATTGCGCACTTTCATGTGGCGGTTTTGGTTTCCTTCTTTTGGCTGCCCATTTGGATGAAACAGTAAGAGAAAGACAAGCTGAGTTTAAAGTAGAGTAGAACAGAGAATAGAGAGGTTCAATAGACTAAGGTAGCAAAGAAATTGGGAAGATACAAGATCGCCATGGTTTACGACACTCAGCCATATCACTCAATGTCTCTAACCTTGATTACAATGATCTCGAAGTCCCCATCCAGGGAGCCTAGCGCGACCTATGTGACGAAGTCTCCTTGTTGGGATTTTATTTCGACAACCCTTGGTTTTTTAATACTCAATGTCTACCTTGGCAAACATGGCGTGCCGTGGCAACCTATTTAGTGATATGCGAACACACCCCAACCAATGGGCGACCGCGGTTACCTAAAACTCAGCGCCTAACCTCAGCATTGCTCGTTCGGTCGGGCCACCAGATTCGTGCGGTGCTGCGTAGACAGTGGTATTCAAACACCGACAAATGATGGTTATCCTATACAGAGAAAAAGTTAATTATCACACACAAGACACCGTTTGAACTGTTGTACAGAACCATTAGCGGAGAGGTGTGTTCACTAAAGTAGCATTATTACATGTAATAGGATATTATAATATTTCCAAACGGTTATTACGTTGACTGGAAGGGAATTTACATGTTCGTGCGCTGTGGGTATTACAACAAGGATAATCAATGGTTATTCGCATTCTGACTAAGTTCCCCAATTGCAAACAATTATGATGAAATCGATACCAATCTTCTGTCAGTAATACCCACACTTCTAGCATCCAGTGTATATCATCTGTTTTTCTACCGGATCGTGAACATATTTAACGATCGTCCGTTCTATATCAGTTACTTTCTTTAGGTTTCATTGAGTCCGAACCGTTGCTTCTTATCCAACGAACTAACCCAGAGGTAACTTGACCAGCATCGATCCGATCGCCTTGACTGTAGTTAAACTAGACTGTCATATAAAAACTTCAATTCTTCCTCCACTATACTGTGAATGATTTTCTGAATAGAAAACTTCACGACGAGACGTTCAGTGAAAAAAGTTTTTATAGGGTTTGAATGAGAATCTGAAAGCATTGCCTACCCCACTTAGTACGAGGGAGAGTGAGACACCTCGATGAAAAACCATACTTCTCCTCATGCATCTCTAAGCTTGACATAAAACTGTTCTTCAGATAATTCTCAATGACGATTGTTGGTTGTGGTCCATAACTTCGACCACTTCAACGGAAATTCTTGCGGTGATTTTGGAAACCGGACAACATCAAGTGTGCAATTGTCCACTCTGATTTTGATAATCCTTGGGCCCAATTTAGCAAGGGCTACGAAATACCACTGTTTATGGATGGGTGAACTGTTTGGTGTATCACAGTTGATGACAAATCGTTTTAGGACTTCGAAAAGCAGTTCAGTTCATCTATAACGTCCCCGCCTAGTCAAACTGTGTTGATCCTAGCTTACGGGATGACACAAACCTCAGTGCGACACGTTACAGTTTCTGGACAAGTGTGATGAGTTAAGCTTTCAGGATAACTCCAGCAAAGTACTTACGCGCTACAGCTTCTGGACAACAAATCATAGGCCGGATGTATCGACCAATCAGAAGCCGTGCGGCCCAGACAGAAGTTGTACGACATCAAGAATACGAGCACACGATTGGTGGATGCCTGGAAAACCAATGAACTTCTTTTGTACATGTTATTCAACCCCCTTAACCGAGTTGTGTTTTGAAACTAGACGGTCAGGAATTAGCTGTAGTTGATGGCTTCTCGTACTTAGGTAGCTGCGCGACCAACGACGGTAGCGCATCGAAGGAGATAACCGCCCGCATTTCCAAGACTCGAGCAGTATACGCAGGACTTAAGCACCTGTGGCGGCAACGTGACGTTTCACGGAAGTTGGAAAGTCGCGTATACTGCGCCACTGTACGATCAGTTCTGCTTTACGGTTGTGAGACCTTGAACTTGCGGGTAGAGGACATCCGTCGTTTGGCAGTGTTCGACAACCGATGCCTTCTTAGTCTGGGGCAAGTGGGAGGGAGTGGGCGGTTAGTAGCTTGGAAGTACGTCGTCGGGTGTTTGGGAATACCTCAAATAAGAACTCGCTATCGTATCGAATCCAGCTCAATAGGCTTCGTTGGTTAGGACTCGTTTTGCGTATGTCCGACGGTTGCCTACCGCAGTGCGCCTTATTCGCAGTAGCTGTTGCAGGCTGAAGAAAGCCACGTGGAGGCCTGCAGATGACGTGGAGACAAGGCGTGAAGAAATGCACAGAGCATTTAGGTAGGGTAGGTGTCCCTCGGCTTCCGAGTTGGGGTTCAAAAGACTCCGAAACCACATGGTTGGAGACACTGAAGGACATGGCTGCGAACCGACAGCAATGGCGATCATGCTGTCACTTCTTATCAGATCCGAAGGCTTGAAATAGTATATATGCCCAGTTGGGCTGTGTACTCTGTGTGTTGACCACAGAGGTTCACTTTCTTTTCCCGTCCCCAAGAATAGGTCCAATCCCTGTCCTCGTTACACATTATCACTTACCTTGTATGCAATATAAGTGTGGCAGCGATCATTGAAGTTCGCTTCACTGTATTACGCTGTACAATGATGATGATGATGATGACGATGATGATATATTGTATTTTCACACACGCTTGAGTTCAGATAGTGTGCCCAGTCATGTAANTTATTTGTGTCAAAAACCCTAAGAGGCCAGAAAAGCAACAGCTGATAAATATTTCTCATGATAAAATTTTAACCTTGATTTCCAGTGGATATTGAATATCACACAGCGTAGATAATTCTTACTTACAGAATCGTTGTTTGACAGCTGACTTCGAAGACCACCCGGAAAATATCAAAAAATAGTACTAATCGCATAATAAAAATTATATAATGTATCAATGCACTCTTCGTTGTTAGTCAGACATTTGTCTTGACCTCTGAATCCAGTTGATTCATTGATGAATGGTGAATGCAAGAATGCTGCCGCCGGAATGAGCTTGCACTGTCAGTACTGAAACACGTGTGTTGCTCATGAATGATCAGTGATTAGAAGTAAATAAAATCAATGGAGCAATCATCATCATGCATCTTACACTTGGATCCGCTAAATTCACAAATGGAACCGGATATTTGCACGTACCCATATTCGAACCACATTTGAGCCCTGCGTCCCTCTTCCATCTGACGCTGAAATTGACGTCGTCCACGGAGCGAATCCTGTGATAGGTCAAGTCCAATTTCTTCATTGTTCTGAGCATCCTCGAGTGGGGGCAGTTTGAATTTTGTGTGACTTACTCCGAGCTTCGCACCACACGGCTGACAACGTAACAGTACATCCAAAGATTCTGCATACAGACAATTCAGCTCGGACAAGGTACGCAACAAATCACACTCGTGATGTGTGAGTGTGGTGGATGGTATGCTCTGTGAGCAATGATCATGCAACACCCGGATGATTTCTTTGGGCGAAGTTGGACCACTTTCACGGGCGTGCAACTCGAAGAGCACTAGAATTTGGTAATCACAGGGCATGTGTCGAGAATGTTTAAATATAATTCATGGGATAAAATTTCACATTTTTATTCTTAAGTCTGAATGGGTATACATAGAGATAACGGGTATCAAATGATTACAAAACAAACGAAAAAAAATCAACTTAACATCCTATTTCTTTTGCACATTTTATTAAGGTGAGGAAACATAACACATTTCAGCAGACCTCGGGTTACAAATTACTGACGAAGACATGAAAGCAAACCTGACTGAAGGATTCTGATCAACCCCGATGTGAATTGGTTGAGATTGGGGTAATAAGATTTTGCGCGGGCAAACCATGAGACTAATACTTTCGCATGGTACGTTGAACTGGATGAAGAAAGGATTATCCCTGTAAATGAGTTCCGAATGATATTCAATCATAACCAAAGAGACATCTCTCGCATAAATAACTGAGAATAAAAATAAGAAATAATACGAGTTCAACTATAGTTCGTGAATGAATGGTTTATTGTAAAATTTTGGCTTCAATAAAGAATCCAGAATTCTGATATAGGATGCCGAAAGAAACCACAGACGTTTTTAGTGTGCGTGCAACAAAATACTACTCATAAAACTTTGCGCCTGCATACGCCTACATCGCACAACCCACCTTTGTGCCTATATCCGAAAACCAGTCAAGTGTTGGCACAATATTATCATCACAGAAGCTTTTCCATCTCGAATTGTCCAAATGGTGCATCGCTCCACAACTGATTCCCTTATGCTGACTCGCTGCCAACGCTTAAGCAGCGTAGGATTCATAATCTATTCTCCCTTGCTGATCCGACGATTAAACGGCTAATCGGGTTCATTCATCGATCAGTCGCAGTGGTCGAGAGTGGTGACCAATTTGATTTGCTTGTGATGAATTTCCTCGTCTGCAGAGTCATTGAAGTGGAAAATGAAAATCCTTGTGCTGATATGCGCTATCCGTGATACCTTCATTAAGCTCGCAAAGATGGGCTGTTCTATCGCGTGCATGTGCAAAAGGGAAGTCGGTCTAATCAGTTTCCTAATGATCAAGTGGGTAGCATGCCTGCGTTCCGTTTCGGTGGTCCCGAGTTCCATCCTCAGTTGGGTGGGTGGATTGGCATTACTGATGAAATCTGATGACCCTGATGAAGACCCACATTTTCCACAGTTCCCACTGGCTGTTACAGACGTTGATTTCAGCTATCATCGAGTCAACCGGCCTTTGGCAAAATAGCATCCATGCCAAGCTACGAATACTAAGTAAGCATCCATCCTTATTTCTGTTGTTAATGTATTTAAACAAAAACCTGATGGTATTGAACATGCTTGGGTGCATAAATGATATATTGCATATTCATGCAGTCTTCTGAACATTCTTGTCTATCATTTTATCTGGTCAGCGCAGTTTTACTATCAGTTACAGCGACGTTTCCATGAAGTTTCCTGCTGATTAAATAGCTGTAATTGAATTTCCTAGTCTCTTTCGAACGCAATGCACAATCCGCGTTCATTGTTCATCGCGCGTTGCTTCTAAACGTTATGTTGACTGTTCTGTTGAGCATCGTTCTTGGACTCCAAGTACATTGTTGTGCACATCTACTTACTGAGATTGTCTATATTTGTAAATCAATAGATTGATATTTAACCAGTTGAATTAACACCGAAAACGAGCCTGTTTCCTAAATTGTGTTCTAATGAATTACAAATGCTTTTGTTTAGGATGATACACGTTGTCAAAATACACGGTAACCAGTCTGAGTTGTGCCAATAAACGATGTGTCACTGCAATAAATCTGAGTTGAGAGATCAACACAGGATTACAACACGGAGGTGACTGTTTCTCACGTAGGAGAAAGTGGCTGACCAATATTAAGACAACCGTCGGTCGAATAATTGTTTACTTTTATTGAAAGTCCCTTGAGGCACCCAGTTCAAAGTTATCATACTGTGTAAAATCATGGATAACTGTGAGTTATTCTCACCACTATACGTCCCACGCATTGAACTATAAGGATCACACAGATGTAATCAGGCTGTGAATAGATGCGACACGGATGACAAGTGATGCAACAAGAATATGCGACGAAGCTGAGTAGCAAAGGGAGAAGTTGTAGATGACAAGTTGTTGTCATTGGTATTGTGGATAGAACGCAATAGTCATCCTGGAGTTACAGAGAGAGAGAAAAATGTAACTTCTGTTAGCTAGTGAATGCGTTTAAATTTAATCTTGCTATTTAGGGGACATTGTGTCATTTCTGTATCCTTATAACATTGTTAAGTATTTTGTCAATTATGCCATTCAATACCAGTTGCATTTGGCTCAAAGGAATCGGTGTTATTCGAGGGACCTCTGCCTCAATAGAATTTCCTCACTACGCTAGGCTCACTAGGCATAGACCAAACCCATCCATACTTGGCCGACCGAGACCAATCACCATCGGGTTTGTTCATTCTCGTCTAAAGTTCACATGATCAGTGGTCAAGGCCGTAACATATCCGNNTCCTCGCTCGGTAATTCACTAAGGTCTAAGGAGAAATCAGTTCACTCCGACCGGACAGGGGTTTGATAGACCCGGTCTAATCGGTGACGTATGAGCAATCACCTTGTCGGGTTCCTGTCAGAATGCGATTGGTTGGATTCACTTGAAGTTACAACGAATTCATTGGACGTTGAAGAGTTATAGTGTTCTATCGGTTAAATAGTGGGATCATCAAGTTAGCAATTACTCGTGGCACTCAGACGAACCCGGTTTTTTGTTACTACATCGATCAAGGAATATCCTCGAAGAGTCAAGAAAAATGCACCTAACAGACTTCACGGATTTATTCCACGACTTCATGATAAAATCAGTAGGTCTGATGACTGTTTCAAATGTGGATGCGTTATTCTTTTAGTATTTTTGTTTATTCTTGTAATCAGTCATGGAGAATGTTTGTAGACTGCAGAAGGTGCTTGAGTATAGCTTTTTCAGTTAACGTAATGGCCAAAGATTTTAGAGATATGGGACGAAAACGTTTGAATAGGACAGAGGAGTGTGTTGCTTTGGGGATTCGTATGAGTATGATCGGTTTCCAACAGTCTGCAGGTGACTTCCCCAGCTAGGGAAGCAACACCAAATTTGAAGAGTGCCATGGGTCAACCATCAGGGCCTGCAACAGAGGGCGAATTACAACTATCTAAATATTTTTAGCACTATGCAATTCGATGACTAGGCCGGAAGCATGCCAAACGAACGCTGTTAGGAATACGGCATTTAGATAGCCAACATCGAAATCCACCTTGGTCGTGATTTATTCCCATAGTAGACACACCTGATGTCTTGCTACAGTTGTTTGTTGTTTCCGGTCCTCAGACTTCAACTGGAGAATAATGACCCCAATTTATTTACCTCTGCTTTGATACACCTGGCCAAGGGCCTGACAGCTAAAGCGTTATGGAGCTTGTATGCACGTCCGTTTAGTCTCCGCAGCAACTTTAGTAGTGGAGAGGTTATCCTTCCGTGGAAGACATACTGACTTTTAACAGGGCGGAATTAATTATAAGTGATAATAATTGTTTCAGTGAATTTGAGGACACATGAATAGAGTCGAAAATGATGAAAACCATAGAGAGGCCTGCCTGAAAGATTTATTGAGAAGAAAAATACTTGTAGGTGAGAAGTTGCAAGAACGGAATCTGATGTGGTCAGATAGAGGAAAGATTTATATGCACAGTGTGAATATACTTTAGTTCGAACTCAGAGTAAACAGTGGTCGCTGGTGAAAATTGGTGTTAAAGTAAAAAGAGTCAGGTGGGTGATGGTTATTCTATCGAGTATAGATTTACCTCTTGAAGGAGAGCGAAATAGATCTTTCGCACCTTTATAATAAAAGGAGAGTATCAGTACGGTTAAAGTCCCTAAACGATTAGATGTACGTTTGCATCTGAAAGCGCGGCAATACAATTTATAAATGAGTTAAAGAATGACATACAATATGATTGTGTACACGAAGGTGCCATGTACAAGTTGGTGAAAATGGCTCTTCTCGTTCATCACGAATAACTCCATTATTTCGCTCTCATCCCCTCTCGTGACAGCTGTCCCTCCCTAACAGTGGTATGGCATGACTCACTCTGCATACATATATAATTGCTCAATCTTATTCGGATTGATTACCTGTCCCATCCGTGCTGCGCACTGACACATGTGTGCTCTAACTATACCTTTTCAACTTCAGGTGAATCCGTTGTAAATTCAGGTGAATCAGCCGTAACTTCAAGTGAATCCAACCAATCGCACTCCATTAGAAACCCCGACAAGATGATTGGTGTTTTGGCCGTCAAATGTCACCGATTGGACCGGGTCCGTCTAAACCCCCTCCAGTTTGAATGAACTAATTTCTCGGTAAACAAACAAAAGCACATTTTTCGCGAGTTACCGAGCAAGGCTGAATGTTT